CAAAAAACAGATACTCATGTTTCTAATTCTTTTTTTTTTTTTAATATTCTAGATTCACCTTCCAGCCCGGAGACTTCTTCGGCCATGTTCACCTGTCAGAACGACTCCGTCAGACAGAAACAAGTCACACTCTGGGTCACAATGGCAACACCGCCTGGTAATTCCCCATTCCGACAATCAACCAATTAGTTTTCATCCCACAAAACAATGACAAACATCAGACAAGATTCCAAGGTCATTTTTAAAGCCAGTTTGGTTGGAATATGATATGAGAAAATAATTGAATGCGTCACCATTTGCTTTTCTCGTGTCATCATTCCGGTTTCCCAGTCACAGTAACATTATACTCTGGTGTCATTGATGTTTGGAAAGACACCAAAGTTGATTCATGTAAAACACTTACAAAGCAAAACCAGTTCTGACCCTATAGACTGCCACACACTGCCACCTTTGTTTAGATTGTAGACTGTATCGCAGGTACAGTATGTAGGTCAGGTCAAGAAAACAAATATTGCACTTTTTTACAGCAGCCCGCAGGTAGGCAGAGGTTAAACATACATTTCAGCTCAAAATAGTCTGAAGGTTTGTATTTGAAACAGGATAAACTGTTGACATGGAAAGCAGTTACAACAATTTTGAAATGTATGTTGCAAAGTATTTGGCAATGTATTACTTTATTTAAAAAAGTAAGTTTAAAATGCACTTTTCATTCATTTCACAGCATTCCCAAGTGGGACTGAAACCAAAACTCTAAGCGTCAACGTCGTTCTACGTTTTCCGTCTTCTCTTCACCTCTGCACGTCCAAACCAAAAAACCCTGCTGACCGGGGAAAAAAGTAAAGAGAAGCTAAAGTCCTGCAGTGGAAGCACTGAGGGGACGTTAGGAAACCTTCACTTCCCCAATGTCTTTGTCGTTAAGGACTCAACACATGAGGACAAAATGGACAAATGAAGAAAAAAAAACCTTTAATTTTCATCAAGGATATGTTGAATGGGCCTTGTAGAAATGATAGTGTTTGTTTTTTCCTGAGGATTTTGTGTAATCATGTGCCTTTTAATTTGAAACAAATTTCTCAAACCATTTACAAAGTGGTGAATGTAGCATTATTTCCATGACTGATGAGTGAAACTCAAAAAAGAAACTATTTTGATGTTGCTGTTTAAATGTTTTGTTTTAGTCTAAATTTCTAGTTATACAAATAAAAAGGAAAACTTGGTTGGTTGAATGCTTTCCTGTGTGTTTTTGATTATTTTGTTTACTGTAACTATTTGTGTTAAAGACACAGGAAACAGGTTTTACAGTTGAACGTTACCATAGACGCACCAATCATCTGGTTTTTCTGTCAACAAGACGACTTTGTTGATTCACAGTCTTGTTGTTTTATCTGTAGTGGCCACCAAGACCAGACCAGTCAGACCAGTTTACTGGATGGTCACTGGTCCATACTTACATGTCACCATCTACTTGGTGTTAAAACCTCAAACATGTAAATTGAGTGAGTTGTTTTTTTTTATTATTATTAATTTAATCAATTAATTAAACGAAATTCTTCCAACAAAACTCAAAACTCTCCTCCAACCAAACACTGGTTATAAGACGTGAACATTTAGTCCAGTTGCCCTTGATATACTGTAACTATTTTTGGATAAGATGACCTGAATGACTAAGAACCTACACAGACCAATCCCAGGGTAGCTGTCAATTAATCATGATTAATCGAGATAAATCAACATTCTTCTCCTCACTGTTGCCAAAATGTTGCTCAGTGCTGTCTTAATCCAAACCCAGGACGACCATTACAGTGCCATTTCTACTGTATACTTCACCACCATTTTACTGTTGTTCTGTAGGATCCACAGTGAGGTGTGATGTTTCGCACAATCCCATCTGTTCTCTGACATTGTGTCAGGGGATGTAGGTCTTTCTTATATCTGTGCGGAAAAGCACGTCATGAGTCTTCCAGTGCAGAGATATTGTGCTGACGTCAATGTCAAAAAAGGTCTGAGTCAGCACAGTGTTTCACCCTCTGTGGCTCAGCACACAGTGAACACATGCAGCCTTGTGGGTGAGTCGCTGAGCTGTTTTCTAAACACAGCCGATCTGCTATGGTACAACATTACTCACTGCAAAAAAAAAAAAAACTTCCTGTTACTTTATGTTGTTCCAGAGTTCATGGTCTGCAGTCTGGATTCATACATCTGTGACAATGGGATATACAGTATATATATATATATATATATATATGTATATATATATATATATATATATATATATACTGTATATCTCAGTCTAAAGCAACAACAGGTGAAAAGTTTTTCACCTGGATTAAAATGTATTCTGAGAACGGACAGTTGTGATGAAACTCTTCCCTCTGGTTATTTTTTTTTTTCATTTAACTCCTGAAACTCACATCCAAGTCTCGCATCAGAATGAAACATTTTTTGTGCTGACAGATTCGGACTCAGAGAGTCTAAAGTATGGGTGACAACATGAGCGCTTTACGCCTTCTTTTCAGAGAACTCCCAGTATCCAGTGACCTGGAAAAACTGCAGCGTGGGAGGCTGAGCGGCCGATCCACTGGTCAAATGAGCCACAGAACAAATCCTCTTTTCAGCCTTTCTACTCTGTCATGCAAAGAGGCCACTTTGCAGCGGCTCTTGTTTGTCTTTCCTCCGTTTCATGGAGACGGACAGAGAGACTGAGGGGTGAATAAGGGACAGTGGTGCTGACACAAAACCATTTCACAGTCGAGAGGGAAAATCCTTGGCTCAGAGATTAGGCAGCAGCAGCAGAGGGAGAGTCTCATCCATACAGTATGTCAGGGTCAACAGGGTACGGCTAAATGTTTCAAGACAAATGTTTTAATTTGAAGGTTTTATCCTTATATCTTTGCGTTGAGCTGCGTTAGCTTTAATAAGATCAGATTTTATACAGATTTTTCTTCTTTTTTTTTTTGCAAATCAAAAATTCACGTTTTTTGGGAGGGATTTTTGCAACATTTTTTGCATGAACCAAACAATTGTCAACTATGTTAAAAAGAATATTAAATTGATCCTGAATTTGCCACGAACAATCATGCAATAATTACAGTCAAAGTTGAATGCATTGACAGGTTTAGTAAAAACACAAGACATCAGTTGAAAGGACACTACAATAAATCACCGCCATCTGTGCTAAGTCAGCTGAGTCAGCGATAAGTCGGCCAGCAGCTGTTTCAGAAGGTGAAATGAGGACTCTAAGAATACGAGGTTAATAATTAGTCAGTCATTATGTTTCTTTGTCATCACACTGAATCAATCATTTGGAGGCGTTGAGGCTCTAAGTGTACTGCGATAATTGTCAGCTAATTCGATTTCCAGCCACATTTGGACACTTTGTAAAATATCAAATATAATAAACTAAATAACTAAACTGCCAACTGTAACAAATCAAAGAACCACAGACTGTCAGCAGGACTTCAGATACATAAACTAAATTATTAATATAAATTTGTATATACTTTAACCTAATCCTGACTTACCTAGTGTACTGTCCATGTGTACTCCATTATATTTAGGCTGGGGCTAAAACATCAGCCAGAAGATGACAAAGCTGAAGGTTAGCTGGATGCAGTCATTTCTACAAAAAAAGAGAGTTGAATTAATAACATGTTGACACGTGTCAGTAATCTCCTGTGATAATCTCTTTTTGCCTCTTCCTTTATGTTAACTTATTTGCTTAATTCATTTGAATTAAAATTCCTCAAGGTATTAAGAAGAGCTGCTGAAAAGAACAGACCATCACCTAAATCTCACGACGTTCCCATTATTAAACCTTGTGTAACACGTTATGATCTCCAGATGTGGAAAAGAACGAGGTTACAAAACAAAAGTGTGTTGGGAGTGTGTGTAAACATTTGATTTTAAGACTAAAAAGCAGATGTGGACAGTGTGGAGGAATGTGTTTTTAATCCAGAAGGATTTACTGTGTTCTCTGGTTACATAACAACAGACTGGAGCAGCAGCAGCAGCAGCAGCACCAGCAGCACAACATGCTGTGCTGTTCCTTCACTGTTTACTTTGTTCCACATTGAGCCTTATATCAATCCAGTCAACCACATCTACGACAAACAGACAACTTTACCTGTGGACCTCGTGAACTGTTGTTGCTGGGTTCTTTTTTTTTCCCCAACATTAATGTTACATATAGTGGCATACAGAAACAAAACTGTTCTAAACGTACTTTAAAATTCAAATTCACTGGCTCTTCTAATGTAGTTGTACATCTGTCAATATTTATTAATGAACACTAGGGGCGTCCACAGCCTGGTAATGTCGTTGTGTAAACGTTCTGTGGTTTTAGTGTCAAAGTACGATAGAGTAAAAAGTGAAATTACGAGGTGAAGGTCGAATCCATACGAAAATAGAATCTAAAAATT